TCCTGCATAAGGGATTAGTCGTTCGTTAGGTATCTTCATCCCCTCGAAAATTTCCCAAAATAAAATGTCAGCGGAGCTTCCCTAGTCAATCAATACACGCTTCACGTTGTACCCCATGACGATCGCCGATACGACGACGGGGTCGTCCTCATGAGGGGCCACTCCCTCATAATCTGAGTCCGAGAACGAAATCACTGGCTGAGTAGGTCGCCGGAACTCCGATAAGGTGAGCACTGACCGAGTGTACCTTTTTCGTGCAGAAGAGGTAATTCCCCCGCCCGCGAAGCCCCCCGCTACGGTGTTGAAATCCCCATGGATTGGTTGCTGATGGGCTTCCGACGGTTTTGCTGGCACGCCTCCGGGAGGAGTTCTCTCTTTACGCCTATCCCTCCCGGCGTCATCTTGCGTACGCCTGGGTCGCCTATCCGACGAGCTTCCCTCCTGCTTTTTCGCTACGAACTCCTTCAGTCGTCCCTCCTTGAGCAACCGCTCTATCTGCCTTCCCAGAACAAAACAATTTTCAATTGTGTGCCCGTGAGTCCTGTGAAACTCACACCACGCGGTTGAGCTGGATCTATTACTTTTGGGAGAACCTTTTTTATACGTTTTGCAAGCAATTTAGCCAGAATCTTATACATGCAGCCAATGAGTGAGATAGGTCTGTACTCACTCAGTTGTTGGGGGTCCACTTTTTTTGGCACAAGTGCAATGAAGGACGGGTTTGACCCTCTCGGAAGTCTCCCAAACGTATGAAATTCATTAATAAATCTGATGATATCCTCCTTCAAGTTGTCCCAACATTGTTTGATAAACTTAAAATTGAATCCATCTGGGCCAGGACTTTTACTTCCATTACACTCCCACACTGCTTCCTTTATCTTTGACTCCTGAAAGACTTTTACTAGATCATCATTATCCGCCTCTGTTATTTGATTAAAGACAACACTGTCCATTTTTGGTCTTCTCCAACCTCCTTCCGAGAATCGATCTTTAAAGTAGTTCCTCACTTCTTCTTTAACTTGTTGTGGGTCCTCCACCCATGCACCTGCAATTTTCAATCCACTAATCATATTCTGTTTCCTCCTCCAATTGACTATCGAGTGGAAATACTTTGAGTTACAGTCTCCTTCTGCCATCCACTTGACTCTTGATTGTTGTCTGAGGATGGATTCATTTCGCTTTGCTAGACTCCAGAACTTTTCTTGCAATAGTACTCTCTCGGTTCTCTCTGCATCTTGCAGCTCTCTATCATCTGCTTTCTTATCTATCTCATCTAAGGAGGCCTCCACCTGGCTCAGCTGCTTCTGAAGATTTCCAAAGTTATCCTTGTGCCACTGTTTCAACTTCCCTTTCAGTCCTTTGAGTTTTTCTTTTAAAATAAGTGCCCCTGTCCCTTGTACATGTATCTCCGACCAAGCCTTCCGAACAAATTCCATGAAATTCTTATCTTGGAACCAGCAATCCAATGATCTGAACGGTTTAGGTCCCCACTCCAAATTAGCAACCTTCAATAGGATAGGGCAATGATCTGACACATTCCTTGATAAGATGAATTGTGTACTTCCTGGCCATGCTGTCGCCCAACCATTAGAGATGAGGAACCTATCCAGTTTGCTTCGAGCCATTCCATTAGGCCTATACCAAGTAAACTTCCTTCCCACTACTTGTATGTCTTCAAGCTCCATATCTAAGATGAAAGAGTTGAACTCCTCTCTGTCCACAGCCCCATGATCTCCAGCTGCAATACCTTGCCT